CCAGTGGGCATCAGTGTCCACTATTCCACAAAGCCCTCCTCAGCCTGGAGCCACGGGGCCACCCTCATGGAAGGGGAGGCACTTCTCTGACCATTGGCCGCTCTCCCCCGGGATGGCCGCCAAGTATCTGATGAGAACTCACAAGGAGGATGGACAGACAGAGCCTTGGCATCCCCCTTCCCCTAGTAGATAAAGAGACAGAGGGCAAAAGTGTGGTCCAGATGGGATTCAAAGAGCCATTGGTCAGCAGGAGAGGGCCGACAGGCACAGGTGGGCAGGAGAGAGGGAGTTCCAGGAGTGGTGGCTGGGACTCACCTGGCCAGGATGTGGAGGCCTGAGTAGCTGTGGGAAGAAAGGGACAGTCAGACACCAAGCTCTCAGGTGCCCGGCCCAGATCCCGGGTTGGTGACCCTCAGCTTCTACACACAGAACTGAAGCTGTGCACATGGCGTTGGGGAGGACACAGCAGTGCTGCCCCGAACCTCGCAGTCCTTCCAAAGCCACGCCCTCTGACCCTTTGCCATGGCCTGCCTCCTGGAACCCAAGGACTTCCTGTCCAGTGTATGGAAGCCAGTGTCATGCCTGGGACAGGCTATCAGGGCCTTGCTGTTGACCCCAGAAAGTGAACAGGGAGTGACCCCAACAAATGGGGTCAATCAATGTGCACACTGATGTTTCAGCCTTGACCCATTCTGATATTGAGACTTTACACCAATTTCTAGAGTTTTCCATGGGGTCCTAATACCCCATCCCCAAGGCCCCTATTGGCTCCTTCAGGTGCCCTGATGTGGGCTCAGGGAGGGCACAGGCCAGGATGCTGCTCAGAGGTGTGCACCTGCCTCGCTGGGCCCCGCAGCCCGAATCCCAGCGCCTGAGCCTGGCCAGGGACCAGTGTGGCTTGGGGGGGGTTTGGGGGTGGGCCCTGGGCCTGGGCGGCTGGACTCCCTGAGGGTGGGTCACCGAGCCCCACCTTGGAGCTCCGGGGAGGGGCACAGCCCGTGGCCAGGACACCCTGCAGCCCGAGGCCTTGCTCAGAGGCCCTGGGCGCTGAGCACCCCATCTCTCATCCTGCACCTCTCCCCGGTCAGGGTGCGGGGGGGGGGGCCCACAGGGATCCCACGTGACAAGCGCTCGCTGGGCCCCGCAGCCTGAATCCCAGCGCCTGAGCCTGGCCAGGGACCAGTGTGGCTTGGGGGGGTTTTGGGGGTGGGCCCTGGGCCTGGGCGGCTGGACTCCCTGAGGGTGGGTCACCGAGCCCCACCTTGGAGCTCCGGGGAGGGGCACAGCCCGTGGCCAGGACACCCTGCAGACCGAGGCCTTGCTCAGAGGCCCTGGGCGCTGAGCACCCCATCTCTCATCCTGCCCCTCTCCCCTGTCAGGGTGTGGGGGGGGGGCCCACAGGGATCCCACGTGACAAGCGTTACCTTCCGTGGTTGCTGTCAGGGTCTCCTCCGTGGAAAGCAGAGAAGCTGCAGAGCAGAGGGAACAGGTCAGTGCTGGGGCCTCCTGGAGGGTGGTCCTCCACCCGGGCTCTGAGGCAGGTGCGGGCGGGAGACCCGATGCCACCCCTGCAGCGAGGCTACGCCCCCTCCTTGTGAGGCGGAACTCACCCTCTGCCCTCTGCCCTCTGCAGGCCCTTGATCAATGCCCGGACGCCACAGGGGCCCTTGGCCCATCACCACCCTCCCCTCCTGCGCTTCCTTCCACAGAATCCACCACAGAACCCGCCGACTCCCGCCCTCATTCACAACAGGGGACTCGAGTACCAAGTGCCCAGCCCTGCGGCTCAGACACCCTCGGACGGCAGGAGTCTACCCCCACCCCCTCGAGATATTCCTGAGAGGGAGGCCTCGCCCCCAGGAGGAGGGGCCGTTTCTGAACATGCACCCTCTGCACTAGCCGGTGTGGCTCAGTGGATAGAGCGCTGGCCTGTGGACTGAAGGGTCCTGGGTTCGATTCCCGGTCAGGGCACAGGCCCGGGTTGTGGGCTCGATCCCCATGGGGGGCGTGCAGGAGGCAGCCCATCCATGATTCTCTCTCATCATGGATGTTTCTCTCTCTCTCTCCCTTCCTCTCTGAAACCAATAAAAATATATTTTTTTAAATGAGAAAAGAAAAGGGACAGCGATTCCTGCCCTTGAACATGGAAGGAGGTGTGACTGGGAGCGGCGGGTGAGCTGCACAGCATCATGTGTGTGGGCCCGGCGTTAGGACCAGCAGGGGGCGCTGTCCGCAGCTCGGTCGGGGTGCCTGGCCAGGCGAAGGGGGCCCTACCTGAGCACAGGACGCCGGCGTCTTCCCTGTGTCCGCACGCGTGGTTGTACCAGCCGCCGTGGGGGCAGCTGGGCAGGCCCTGGTACAGGACCTCCACCCGGCCCTGGCACCGGTCCGCGCCGTTCACCAGCCTCAGCGGCAAGCCTGCATGGACAGGGGAAAGCCATCGTCCCTGCCCGGCCAGCGTGGCTCAGTGGTTGAGCGTCGACCTATGAACCAGGAGGTCAGGGTTCGATTCACGGTCAGGGCACAGGCCCGGGTTGTGGGCTCCATCCCCAGTTGGGGGGCGGGCAGGAGGCGCCCAATCCGTGATTCTCTCTCATCATTGATGCTTCTCTCTCTCTCTCTCCTTTTCCCTTCCTCTCTGACATCAATAAAAATATATTTAAAAAAGGAAATGAAAACATTTCTTAAAAGAAAAGAAAGCCATGGTCTTTGCTGGGACTGGCCTCCCGCCCCCTCTTCCCCTCCCCTCTCTGCACAGCCCGCCTCGCTCACTGCCTCCTCTCCTCTCTGGGGACCTGCCTCCCCTGCTGTCCCAGCAGCTTCTCCGTCTCAGCCCCCTCTCAGCCCCCCAAGGACCTGCCCATGGGCTCTGGGAGCTCCCCAGAAAGAGGACCCCACACCCGCCTCCCCAGCCCGGGGGCTCCACACAAGGGTTCAGTGGCCACTCAGCCTCCACCACCAACGGCTGCAGCGCAGAACTGGCCGGCCCAGCCAGGGGCCACCCCTGGGAGCACAAGTAAAAGCCATAGAAAAGGCCTCACCGTAGTCATAGCCTTCAGTCTGCGTGGCCCACCGCCCTGGAGAGAGACAAAGGCATCTTAGCAGGGGGGGTCCCCTGTTTGCAAAGGATCCACAGCCCCAGGCAGTGGCTGCGCTTCCCCTTACAATCCGCCAGGGGGCGCAGAGGTTCCACCGTGGGTCTGCTTGCCTCCAGCATCCTTGCTCAGGGTTTTGTGATTCTGGATCAGTGGTTCTCAACCTTCCTAATGCCGCGACCCCTTAATACAGCTCCTCATGTTGTGCTGACCCCCAATTTCATTGTTACAATTTGACCATAATTAAAGCATAGTGCTTAATCACAAAAACAATACGTAATTATAGATGTGTTTTCCGATGGTCTTAGGCGACCCCTGTGAAAGGGTCGTTCGACCCCCAAAGGGGTCGCGACCCACAGGTTGAGAACCGCTGCTCTAGATGAAAACAAACGGGTTGGGTGTGGGATGTTCCCTTCGTTGAGGTGGGATAAGTGGGTCTCTCCGCCAGGCGCCCTCACGCCGCATTCACCGTCCTGGGGTGAGCTCTGTGCTCAGAGCCGGGGCTGGGCAAGCGAGCGGTCGCACTGGGGCCAGGGTTCCCCGCGGCAGCGAGTCCGCCCTGCAGTGTGGAACGTGAGCAGAGTCCGCTGGGGGACCGCTACATGAGTGAATGTGTAAAAAAAATGTTAAACTATTTTTAAAAATTGATTTCCGAGAGAGGAAAGGAGACGAAAAGAGAGAGAGAGACATCAATGATGAGAGAGAAACATCATCCATTGGCCCCCACCTGCACGCCCCCCAGTGGGAATCGAGCCTGCAACCCGGCCTGTGCCCTGGCCGGGAATTGAACCCTGACCTCCTGGTTCCTAGGTTGACGCTCAACCCCTGAGCCATGCCGGCCGGGCCAGGGCACTGATTTTTTAAAAAAATATGTTTGTATTGATTTCAGAGAGGAAGGGAGAGGGAGAGAGGCAGACGTCAAGGGCGCTGATTTTTAAGGTGTAATCGTGGAGGCGATTCTGAGCGTTTCCTAACACGAAACCTCAGATCGCGTGAGAGAGCTTTATGGGCATTCGCTCAGTTCATCCTCAAAACAGCCCCTGGGGAAACGGAGGCTGGGGAAGGGGACCCGAGACCAGCTGGCGAGTGAGGGCCCGGGCGGGACTCGGACTCAGGCGGCCCCTCTGAACCGCCTCCCTATTCTGCCCCCTGGTATATATTTCCGTGACCTTTGAACGATTTGGTCCAATTATGGCCTGTCCTGGGGACAAGAACCGGAGGAGGAAATAGAGAGACGTTACCAGCCGAAGCAGAGGTGTCCTCCGTTCCCAGGAGACCCGCGAAGAAACCTAGGGAAGCAGAGAAAAGGTGTGATCACACCCAGGGAGCCGGGGTCATGCGCTGCCCCCCTGCCCCTTCCCGCTGACTGGACGCCCGTGGGCAGCCCAGGGCGAGGGGGCAGAGGTCTTAGGGAGAAGGGTGGCAGGGCAGAGACTAGCATGGAGACGCGTTAGAGGAAGGGACTGGGACCCAGCAGGGCCGTCCTTCCCGTCCTACATCTGAAACCAGCAGAACCCCGCAGCCGTCCCAACCCCGCGTCCTGGGGTGGCCCCGGTCCCCACTGCGGCCCCGCCCGGAGTTTAGGGTTACCGGTTGGCACAGACGTCTCCCTAGACGAGATCACCGTCACGTCTTCTGTTACTTGTGTAACTGAAAATACAAAGAAAAAAGGTCGAGTGAGAACCCCTAAAAGCAGGCCTTCCGTCGGGCCCCCCACTAAGCGGAGGAGCGAGGGGCTGCACCTGGCGGCTGGCTGGGCCTGTCGTGTGATTAACTCACTGGGCGTGGAGGACTGACCCCTGCTGCCCAGGCACCACCTGGAGGTGCGAGAAGGGAGGGTCCGTGTCCGCGGAGCTCAGAGGCCGCTGGGCAGCCCGGCAGGGGGGACCCGTGAGGCAGGAGCCCCAGCCGCACCACCTGGAGGTGCGAGAAGGGAGGGTCCGTGTCCGCAGAGCTCAGAGGCCGCTGGGCAGCCCGGCACGGGGGGGACCCGTGAGGCAGGAGCCCCAGCTGAGCAGCGGTGAGTCCAAGCATGTTTGTATGTTTTAAGTTAAAAGGAAATATTTAAAACGTGCACGTATCCTGTCTGGCAGGCGTGGCTCAGGGGTTGAGCATCCACCTAGGAACCAGGAGGTCACGGTTCGATTCCCGGTCAGGGCACATGCCTGGGTTGTGGGCTCGATCCCCAGAGAGGGGAGTGCAGGAGGCAGCCGATCCATGATTCTCTCTCATCATTGATGTTTCTCTCTCCCTCTCCCTCCCTTTCTCTCTGGGATCAATAAAATTATTCTATTTAAAAAAGAAGGAAAGGAGGGTGTCCCCAGCTGGCCCGCTGGTGGCTCCATGCGGTGCAAACACCTCCCCGCGGCCTGGGCGACAGGAGTGACAGAGCCAGAGCCGCCTGCTGAGCGCCCGCTGAGGGTCGTGCAGGGGCGGCTTCCAGCCCATTGTCCGGGCTCACCCCACGGCCACGCGGAGACCTAGCGCCCTTCTCGATCCCCAGAGAGGGGAGTGCAGGAGGCAGCCAATCCATGATTCTCTGTCATCATTGATGTTTCTCTCTCTCCCTCCCTCCCTTTCTCTCTGAAATCAATAAAATTATTCTATTTAAAAAAGAAGGAAAGGAGGGTGTCCCCAGCTGGCCCACTGGTGGCCCCATGCGGTGCAAACACATCCCCGGGCCCTGGGCGACAGGAGTGACCTAGCCAGAGCCGCCTGCCGAGCACCGCTGAGGGCCGTGCAGGGGCGGCTTCCCGCCCATTGTCCAGGCTCACCCCACAGCAAGCGGAGGCCTCGTGCCCCTTCCTCGCTGCAGGAGCCTTTCTGAGACCAGCGGCCCCCGGCCTCGTCAAACCACGACCCTGGCCATTCTCAGGCGGAAACAACCAGAAAAGCGCTTCCTTCCCAAATCCACGCGAGTGGGGTTTGCCCGTGAGCTGAGCAGACGCAGAGGAGACAGTACCTGCGTGGAGGACGCGGCCCAGCAGCAGACACATTCCCAGGGTGATCCTGGGGAGCCCCATGGTGCCGGCTCTGCTGGGAACACGGACGCCTCGATATTTATGGGTTCCAGCCGCCAGGAGGCGTGTCCAGGGCATGACCTTCCTATTGATGCCATAAATCAACATGAGGAAGCGTAACGGTCCCGGCTGAGCTGTGGGAAGACGAGGGTGTGTGCGATCGATGCCGCTCGGATCATCTGGCTGCTCCCCACCTGCCACCGCGCGGACCTGAGGGACCCGCTTCCAACTTCCTCCTGGCGCGTGGCCCTCGGGGCCCTATCTTCGCACCCGAGGACTCGGTGAACTCGTGGGAAGGCGGCCCGGCCCGAGCAGGATGTGGGCTGCTGGGCAAACAGCCCTGGTGCCAAAGGGAAGGCCCCTCTCTGGGCCGGGCGGGCCTGGCAGGGCAGCGATCTGACCCCTGGCCTGGGAGAGCCAGGGCGACATTCACGCAGACGGGGCAGGAGGAGGCCGGCAAGTCCACGGAGGCAGAGGCTATGGCCAGGCGAGCAGCAGCCCCGGCGTCTGGACCTCACACTATTCCCATGGCACAGGGCCGAGGACCGGGGCTCCAGCCGGGCCACCTGACATCTCACGGGGTTTCGGATCCTGCTCTTGGGGGTCATGGGGCTGGGACGGACCTCGCAAACCCACAAAACCAGCCCTGACCTCCCCCTGCCTTGTGCACAGCCCTTCTCCTGGTTTTTTTGTAAACACTACTTTTAAATATATTGATTTCAGAGAGGAAGGGAGAGGGAGAGAGAGAAACATCAATGATGAGAGAGAATCATGGATCAGCTGCCTCCTGCACACTCCACACTGGGGATCGAGCCCCTAACCTGGGCCTGTGCCCTGACCGGGAATCAAACCCTGACCTCCTGGTTCATAGGTCGATGCTCAACCCCTGAGTCACACTGGCTGGGCTATTTATTTATTTATTTTTTATGGAGGAAAATTATTGTGTGTTTTTTGTTTTTATTGTATTTATTTATTTAATTTTTAAAGTATTTTTTATTGGTGATAGTATTACAGATATCTCCCCCCTCCCCGCTTGAGGTATTAACGCCACTTGCTGTGGGAACCTGCAGAAAAGCACCCAAATCCGACGGCAGGAGCAGTTTCCCTGAGACGGGAACCCCTACAGGAGTCACCACACCCAAGAGGGGGGAGACCGGACGGGGAACCAGGCCTGAGTGAGCACGAGGCACGAGGGTCCCGCCAGCAGACCCTGAGCCGCCGTGGACAGCCCGGCTCGGACCGGGAACGTCGTCCCGAGAGCGGGCGCGATTTCCCCATCGCACGCCTTCCCACGGCTGACCCGTCCTCGCTCCCTGTGGTTAGCAGTGAAGCCCTAAGACAACAAAGGATTGGGAGCTTTTGTTCAGCAGAAGCAGAGAAGGAAGTGGAGGGAGCCCAGCTGTCAGTCAAAGCTGCCAGGCGTGTCCCGGGGGGACGGGGTGGTGTCCCCGCATCAGGAAGGTCTCGGACCAGGAAGAATACACTGGGCCACCTGCCACCAGGTGAGCCCTTTGCCGCCAGGGCCCACCTGTCCCGGGAGCTCTGTGTGGGTCACAGACCCCGTACAGACAGGACTTCCTCTTGTGGGGAGAGGGGGCCCCTGGGGGACCCCCAGCAGAGCAGCTCCCTCCCAGGAGGCCCCCTTCTCCCTGCCCACCATCCAGAGCATCATCAACAGCACGGCCAGGGGAGGAGCGGGGCCAGAGCGCCGCTCACGAACGAAAACCGCCGCGAAGAGCAGGACGCTGAGCCGGGCTTCTCCCCGAGACGTTTGAAAGCTTATTCGCACGCCCTGACCAGTGTGGCTCAGTGGATAGAGCGTCGGCCTGCGGACTCAGGGGTCCCGGGTTCGATTCTGGTCAAGGGCATGTACCTGGGTTGCGGGCACATACCCAGTGGGGAGTGTGCAGGAGGCAGCTGATCGATGTTTCTCTCTCATCGATGTTTCTCTCTATCCTTCTCCCTTCTTCTCTGTAAAGAATCAATAAAATGTATTTTTAAAAAAAGAAAGAACGCTTATTCGCAGAGATATGCACCCCCACGCTCACTGCGGCCTTCTCCACGCGGCAGGACAGGAGACAGCCGGCGTGTCCTTCGATGGGGCGGATGCAGAGGGGCACATGCACGCTGGAAACACTTAGCTCTCAGCCGCGAGGAAAGGGGAAACAGTGCCATTTGTGAAACGTGGGTGACCTTAGAACGAACATCAAGCGAAACACGTCAGACAGAAAGTCCGGAGCCACGTGGTTTCACCCACATGTGGGATATAAAACTGAGACTCAGACACAGACCGCAGTGTGGCGGTTACCAGAGGGGGCGGGCAGTACAGGGCCAGCCCTATGGTGACACAGGGCCGTGGCCGTGGGTGGTGGGCACACGGTGCCGTCTACAGAGCATGTGTCGTCGAGCTGCGCACGTGAAGACTGTGTGGTTTATTAATCACCCAGAGGCCCAGTGCACGAATTCGTGCACAGCTGGGGTCCCTTGGCCTGGCCGGCTATCGGGGCTGATCGGGGCTGGCTGGCCGAGGGGAGGTTGGCTGTGGGCTCCCCTGCATTGAGCATCTGCCCCCGGTGGTCAGTGCATGCCATGGCTACCGGCCGGTCGTCTAGTTGTAACAGTTGCTTAGGCTTTTATATATATAGATGTCCCCCGTACATGTAACTGTTAACAAAGAGCAACAGGGAGAAGGGCCTCACACAGGCTGCCACCATTTATTTAGTAAAACTAACAATAGCCCGGCCGGCGTGGCTCAGTGGTGGAGCATCGACCTACGAACCAGAGGTCACGGTTCGATTCCCGGTCAGGGCACAGGCCCGGGCTGCGGGCTCGATCCCCAATGTGGGGCGTGCAGGAGGCAGCCAATCCATGATTCTCTCTCATCATGGATGTTTCTCTCTCTCCCTCTCCCTTCCTCTCTGAGATCAATAAAAATATATTTTAAAACATAAATTAAAAAGGGGTCACAGGTCGCCCCCCGGCTGAGAGCCAGCTGTGCCCAGTGCACTCAGGTGGCAGGTGTGGCCGGGGACCCGGAAGCTGCCCTGGGGTCAGGTGGCAGGTGTGGCCGGGAAGGTGCCCCAGGCCCCCCCTGGAGAGCGGGGCCACATGGGGCTCGGGAAGCCGTCAGACCCACCGCTTTGCTCACCCGCAGCCCTGCCAGCCTTGCCGTGGCCGTGACGAGTGGTGTTGAAACAACAACAAAGACTCAAATCCAAGGAAACTGGAACAAAGGAAGGGGCTCTGAGGACGCAGGGCAGTGACGAGCCGCAGCTCTCGCCAAACCAGAGGAACAAAAGTGCGAGGGGTCAGCCGAGCCCGAGAGCCGCGGCCAGAATGGGCCCCTTGTGCGCGGCCGGAGGAGGAAGCCAGGCTGGGGCCGCCCCGCAGGTGAGTTCCTTGAGTGAGAAGGGGTTCATTCACATTTCCTTCTTCCTGTTACACACGAGGCCCCCAGAGCCAGCGTGTGTGAGTGTGTGCGTGCATGTATGGTGCCTGTGTGTGCATGAGTTTGTGTGCAAACATGTACATGCACGCATGATGCCTGTATGAATTTGTCCATGTGCATGCACACATGTACATGCATGTATGGTGCCTTGAGTGCATGAGTGTGTGTGTGTGTGCGTGAGTGCGTGCATGAATGAGTTTCTGCATGTCTGTTTGTGTGTACACATGTACGGTGCCTTGTGTGCATGCATGTACATGTATGTATGGTGCCCGTGCGTGCATGAGTGTGTGTGTGTGCGTATGTGTGCACATGCATTCCCCAGAAGACACCTGACTGACCACTTCAGCGGTGGAAACTGTAGGCACCGCACACCCAGCCTGCACCCACACCCTGTAGGCACCGCACACCCAGCCTGCACCCACACCCTGTAGGCACCGCACACCCAGCCTGCACCCACACCCTGTAGGCACCGCACACCCAGCCTGCACCCACACCCTGTAGGCACCGCACACCCAGCCTGCACCCACACCCTGTAGGCACCGCACACCCAGCCTGCACCCACACCCTGTAGGCACCGCACACCCAGCCTGCACCCACACCCTGTAGGCACCGCACACCCAGCCTGCACCCACACCCTGTAGGCACCGCACACCCAGCCTGCACCCACACCCTGTAGGCACCGCACACCCAGCCTGCACCCACACCCTGTAGGCACCGCACACCCAGCCTGCACCCACACCCTGTAGGCACCGCACACCCAGCCTGCACCCACACCCTGTAGGCACCGCACACCCAGCCTGCACCCACACCCTGTAGGCACCGCACACCCAGCCTGCACCCACACCCTGTAGGCACCGCACACCCAGCCAGAGTGCAGACAGACATCGCGTGAGGACGTAACACAAAAGCCTCGCTCTCGGCTGGACATGCGCTCGGCCTGTCCCTGACCTCAGGTCACACACGCCCTCTGGGTGAGGCTCAGCCGTCGCTGCCCCACTTCACAGGCGGAGAAACTGAGGCCCCCCCCACCCAGAGGTGAAGCACTTACACCCAAGATCCCGGGGCCTCAGTGAGGGGCGTGCGGAGGGCTAAGGGCTGAGCCCACTGAGCCCCCATGACGCCCCTCGCTCTCCCCGCTGAGCCCCCGCTGCCATCTCCTGCTTCTCTCCTGGCTGCTCTCCGCTCTCCCCTCCTGGCCTGGGTGAGGGTTAAGCCTCACCTGACCTGACCGTCCATGTTCTCAGGAATCCCCTGTTCAGCTTTGGTCCCTTCTCTCCTCAGAACCCAGGGGGAAGGGAGAAAGCTACACACTCCGCAGAGGGGGGCTGTGTCCCCCACATCCACAGAGGGGGGCTGTGTCCCCCACACCCGCAGAGGGGGGCTGTGTCTCCCACATCCACAGAGGGGGGCTGTGTCCCCCACATCCTCAGAGGGGGGCTGTGTCCCCCACATCCTCAGAGGGGGGCTGGGTCCCCCACATCCTCAGAGGGGGGCTGTGTCCCCCACATCCTCAGAGGGGGGCTGGGTCCCCCACATCCTCAGAGGGGGGCTGTGTCCCCCACATCCTCAGAGGGGGGCTGGGTCCCC